TTATTTTCCTGTCTATCTCGATGTTCTTCTTAGTCACTGGCGTGGACATCTGGACAATTTCACAGATGTCTGAAAACACCGGCCCCGTGCTGCCTGTCAGCATATCGGCCAGATCAGAACAGCCCGTAAACCATTTTCAGTTTCATTTGAATTCGTGGTACATTGAGCTTCAGTTCAGATCCAATGCAGCCAAAAACTCCCTCAACTCACCCGGCATTTCCCGCCATACATTGTGGCTTTATTTCATACAAGAATCACAGTGAAGTTATTTAAAATTATTTTCATAAGTTACTAAGATATTATGACATGAACACACACAGAAAAAACAAAACAAAACATGGAACAATTGTATATTGTACATGCATTGTGTTGAATGTTTTTTAAACAATCTCATCTTATTTTGGTAAAATTATTCAAGGTAGAAGGTGAATTTAGTATTTGACCTTTTGGAGCAAGATGTTTACTATCCAGCTTCTCCTCCTCCTCTTCCTCCTCCTGGAAATGTAATTGCAGCTGTTATATTATCCAGTCATGGTTTTTAGATTATCAAAGGGGAACTTGAGTATCAAACATGTTATTCTCATTCCATGTGACAGTTTCATCTGTGGTGATGAATAGTCTGCTGTTAGCCTAGAGCCAGAGGAGAGGCAGGAGTGTGTCCTTCTCACTAACTGTTAACTGAGTTTGACATGAGCTTCAGTTCAGATCCAATAAGAGAGAATAGGATAAACACATTGGATCAACAGGAGGGGTGTCTGCTCTATGTAGACACAAAAGAAGGCAGACTAGAGTTTGTGACAGAATGGTATCTTTTAAAATGTAAAACTAAAACCTGGAAAATGAGCATGTAGCACTAGCGATGGTGCAACTCCTCTCTGTCATCTGACTCAAACAGTTTCCACTTTGCAGTCACAGTTTATCACTAATGTAAATCCCAGTGGTCTTACTCACTTGCTAGCACTGCCACCAACCTCTTAAAGCAACAGGTGGCATGAATCTGTGTCTGTTCTCATTCAGTGCTCTTGGTTGTATCAGAAATATTTGCTGTGTACTGTACTATCATCCTCGCAGCCACTCAGCCTTTCACTTTTGATACTTCACTGAGGCAAATCCTGCTGCACATTTGGTCTGTAATATTATTGGAGCCAGCGATTTTCATCTTTAAACTCTCGTAGTGGCACAAGCGTCTCTGCTCTGCTGTTTCCTGGAGCAAAGCAGCGAATCCTCTCCAGCTCTGATGCTGCTGCTATTAAAAGTTTGACCTCTGACCTCTCTGAAGGGGGCTCAAGGGAGAAGAGAATTTCCCCACTGGGACCAATAATGTGATGCATTATAACTAATCACCACTGTACCTAACATTGCTTTGGGGAGTGTTAACATCACTGTAAAAAATGTCCTGGACTAAATGAGGTTCTGATCAAATGGTGCTGTTAGGTCAAAACAACACTTCTTCCAATTTTGGTGATTTCTGTGCATTATAAAAGCTGAGCTGAGACTTTCTGTCAAACTCTTAACAGCTCTTAAAATAATTTAGGATATAATGCCAGATACCAAATGCATCTTGATTTACCTAAAACAATGTTGTTGATGATTTTACTTTTCCAAAATCCTTTCACTTTGGAAATACTGTACAAGCTTTTAACTTATAGTATGTGATTTGTTACTTACTGGTCATTGTGATCCACTATGATTATCCACTGTTTTTGCAGTAATTAATTTAGTTAATTAGTCGAATGATTGATTAGTTGAGGTTGCAATTCCCCCTGCAGCTATTGCTGTAAATGTCACCTACTGTGAAAGTGAAGCGGAGCATGAGGAAAATCTTAACTGACAACGAATTCTGAAGCCAGTCATCAGCTGCATTCCTGAATGGTGGTAACGTCCAGAAAGGCTTCCTCTCTGCTCTTACAGTTCCAATGGAGGAATGCACGACCCCGTCTGCTCTCATTTGCACTAACAGGCTTAGATAAAATGAATCTTACATCGGTGACATTCCTGATTAAAAAGATGAGCGTTGTATTTCTCTTTTACACCTGGAATACTTAAAATGTTCCTGTTAATGCCTCTATAGATCCTAACAGAACGAGCAGTCATTAGGCCTATAACACGACAATATTAACATCAGCTGCATGCCTTCATATGGTTGTACTTTTCTGTACTTTTTCTTATCGTCTTGGCCTAATACGACTCCAATTCAGACTTAACAAATCCAGAGAGACGCAGAAAAACATGGTACTAAGGGAGAAAATGAAAGAAGACAATTGCTGAGAATAACGTTAGTAATTAAAGATATATACTACTAAACAGGCTAAGAATTATTAAAATTAAATTCCACCTGCCTGACCTAACGCAAATTGTAAAGCGATGCAATTTTATGCAATAAAAATAACATAAAATATAGGAAAATGAATAAGGATCATTTAGTTGTGACATGCAGATACACTAAATCAAAATGTACAATAGCAGCTACAATCTGCAGCAGCCTCTTAAGTGTTTAATGATATTTCATTTCATGTCTTTAAATAGCAAAACTAACATATGAAAAGCGTGTGTAAATGCATTTATGGCGGTGGTGTAATTATGATGACAATAATAATCATTTACTTAATGTTGTAAAGGTGTATGTGATCTCCACGAGGGCAGGACTTAACATGACTGTGTCATATTGTCCTGAGGCGAAGCTGCATTAACTTCTATCTCACAAGCTTGTTTGCCTAAAGTTGTTGATCACTTGACGTCTGAACTCCGCAACATCTTCACCTGGTGCTGAACTGACAGGGGATTAAATAACCTGCGGATGAATTTGCGCGAGAAACCACGACTTCGAGCTGTCTGTCTGGCTGTTTATCGCGATTCGTCTGCTGCTCTTGAAGGGTCATTATTCTCATAAGACATCTTGGCAGAATCGGTGGCTATAATCAGCGCACCTTCTTAGACCTTTTCCTCATGGCTGGCGGATTTTCCTAACATCTTCTGCTCCAAAGCCTCCCATCCCCGGCGCTGGCACACACGGCGCACTCTCCATGCCAGTTCAAGTTCACTTTTCAAGCTTTATGGGAAACAAGAGAGAGAGAGTGAAAGTACGAGGAGTCCAAAATCACAGCTCTTTGTGGGGTTAGCGAGTTGGTTTGGTAAGAGCCCAACAATTCCGTGTTATGTCTCCTCACAGGCTGCCGGTATAGACTTGTTTTGAGTAGACCCATATGCCCCGAGTCCAAGGTAATTATAACGTGGGGGCTTTGAGCTGCATGCGTAATTGACCTCCATGTGCCAGAAGCTCTCTAACCAACAAGGTGCGACTGATCCGTAGCATTTACGTAGAAGAGGGACAGTTTAAACACTCTCTGTGTACACTTTTCATATTTACACTCCCATTAGAGCCGCCCTTACACGATTAATTATTACTTGCTATTTCAAGTACCTTATTAAAAGAAAATAGTTCTCCACCCATTTGCATGCGAACACAAACATGCAGTAAATTATGGAGAACCATGTTTGTAATAGGCTGAATATGCTGATTTGAAGTCACTATTATTGTGAATTAGCCTTTAGTTCATAACTATTCATATTTGCTATTTGAGATGAATAATCTGCCCAAAGATAAAGATCCAGTGACACAAAAATAACACTGATATGAGCACAGAAAACTAGACCGAGCACAAAGTGCATCGAGCGCACTCTCACACCTGCTCCTGTTGCTGTAACAGGGAATGCTACTAATGAAAGCAGAAAACGCAGAAAATGTGCCGTTATAAGTTTGATCCTCGATGCGCAGCTCGGCCCGCAGACTCACGGGGAGCTGAGGTTGTTGCGTGGCTGAAGCTGTTCAAACAAGGTGTCTTCTTTCAACGCCCGTTTCCAGTTCTGTTTTTATTTTTTCTTTCTTTCGTTCTTTAAACACCGCCAAACACCACGACACTTTTGTTTTCCTCAGCCGAGCGCGGAAAGATAAGGTGTCATCACCTGAACATCAAGGGTCCCCGTTTGGAAAAACACGCACAGTATAAATTTCGCCTAGCTTTGCCCATAATGGCCACATGCCACAAGCTTCAGTCTCTTGACTAGTGTTGTTTATACAAACACTGGATTAAATGTCGACGTTTTCCTTTTCTCTCTTTCTCGTGCTGTCATTTTAACATCTGCAGCGATGACCTAAGTAAATTTTGACCTTAAGTCGGCGATTATCACTTAAATAACAGGCCAAGACAAAATAAAATCCAAAATTCCGCTTTTGTATGTTAAATGTTTCTTCCTAAAAAAGCTGTTTACTATCCCTAAATTACATTTTCTAAATTAAAACACACTGAAACACCCAACACTTCTTTCTGCATATTCTTCTTCCAGACTTTTAGCTTAGACCCAGCTCTTTCAAAAACCAAGGGCATGTCTGTAAACACCGTGTGAGGAGTGAGGAGAAACATAGTTTTCCTCCTTAACGACTCCCCTTGCAGCATTTGTGATTAGATGGTAGATAGTCCCGGATATCAACCCGTGCGCCCCGGCAGACTGCGCGCACACAAAGGACAATACCCCCTTTCTTAGAGCAGGCCTGAGTGTCAGAAGCTAATATTTTATAATGTTATCTGATCATATATTGCCCTAAAGTTGTTAAAAAACTGGTGGTTCCTTGAATATCTTAAACCAAAAAGGGAATTTTGAAATATAGATTTGAATACAGCTCAGAGTTAAAACTTTGGGCATTTCTGCAAAATAAGATTCGTGAATCACCTAAATCCCCGTTTGAAAGTGCAAGAAATAATTGAAAATGCACAACATCATTCCATATCATTTTGTGAAAGTGTAAAGAGATTTTCCTGCAGCTAGTGAGGATATTTGCATTGCTTACATTTTTTAAAACGTCAACCAGCTTGAAATGTTTAAAACAGGTAGGGAGGTGACCCCCAGGACACACCCTTTATAAACAGACCGGTTCTCTGAAAAAAAGTTTAAAAAACCATTTAGAAGCAAAGAAATCCTCCATTTTGATCCATGTAGTTCGTTCTTTTTTTATTGTAAAGGGTATATGAAACTATAGGTGAATCGTTTTATGTTTCATCAGTTATCGCAAAGTTTACATGCACTCGTTCCAAATGAAAATGCAAATAATAATAGCAAGAGATGAAAATAGTTCTTCCTTATCGATGCTCTTATAAGACACTTGAGAATATCATACCCCATCACCCCCCTTCAAAAAAAAAAAAAGCTGCTTATGGCTCTCTCGTAAATCCCATGTAAACAAAAAGGCCAAAAGGCGATGGGGTACATTTAACTAGGTGCCCAAAGATCTAAACCCCTACAGTAACAACGGTAATAGTAACAAGAATTAAGACATTTTCTTGTTATTGTGTTCAACAATATAACATTGTAACGTTATTACATTCTGGTAAAATAGTTATTTTTTATGTTTTGTTTTACCTAAAACGACTTAGATCCTCTTCGGCTTCTGTCTGCACCCCCACTGCAAAAATGCTCCGCTTTAACAAGTCATATAATCTCAAACCTATTCATCTGTCTATTTTCCTTGGGCGAATTAAAGGCAAAATATGCCAACGGCGTGAGAAAATGGTACCTGTTGTAATTCGATAAAGTTCTCTGCCCTTCACTTGTTTCGAGAAAATCCCGGAAACAAGCTTAGGTTTAATTTGGGGGTGAATGGAGGTGTCGCGCACACTGCCACATTTTTCCCACTTGTTTAAAAAGCGTTTATATATTGAATTTGAGACTAAATGATTTGTTAAGGTGGCTGTTTTCGCAGTGTTCCAGTCTGTCTGCCTTGAACCTCGCCGGCAAGTGCTTGAAGCTTGTCTTAAGCCACCTCCTCCAAAACACAGACGCGGTGTTCTCTGTCCGCTTTCTGGGCCGCTTTTTTTTTAGGAGCCAAGATCCACTAGATTCGATGACATAGGGTTCAGTATGGTGTCATGGTGCAATGAGTGGTGATGGTGCACCGAGTCTGCACCGCTGGGTACGGGGATGGCGCTGGGTCCCGGCGGGGGCGCCAGGCCGTGCAGAGACTGTAAACCCGTGTTTGAGCCAAGGAGCAGAGCCGGGCTGGGAGACGTGTGATCCGGTGTACCCGAGGGTGTTTTATCGTCATCCGAGCTCCCCAATAGAGTTTTATTTCCATTCATGGAAGAAGTCAATGGGTTGTGACTATTGCTGTTGGAGTTCTCGTTGTTTTCTCTGAGAACAGAAAACAAAGTCACTTATCAGTCCGGTGTAAACAAACTGCTAAGTATTAGTAGGAAAATGTAATAAATGCTCAAGTCGTGGCACTTATTGAAAAAGACATACAGTATATAAATAAATGACCAAATATGCAAAAGAAACATTTCTAAATAACATTTTAAACAAATCAAAATAGATTTAAAAAAATACCACACACACACACACACACTTGGAAAATATAGTGTTGTCCCTGCCACTGTGTGTACTGGGATATTAATTACAATAAGCATCTTTAATGTATAAATGCTAATGATTTATTGATGCATCATTCAGTTATGCATCAATGCGCATTTGCCAAGGAGCAAACAATTAGGAGACTAAGTCACTTAAATAATTAGAGGCTATCGCTCAGTTCACAGTGCACAGAGTTAAATGAACAGTGACTGAGGACAATAAATCTATTGACTACCTGGAAGTACATGTGTTTATTTCAAATTATTTAAACCAGGGTGCCCTGTGCGTAAAGACGCCTATCAAAAAGGGTAAGCTCTCGACCTTTGTGCCGGAATAAATGACAGGTCTAATTATTGCTAAACCTGTGCATGTTGCGTATGGCATATCATACTTTTGCAGTGGTGAGTACGGCTCAGTGGGAAGACATGATTTACGTGGAGCTTTCAGCCCGAATTAGTGGCCAGAGGGTGAAAGAAGACACCAACCCGAACACCTGTCTAAAACACGTCTCCCAGACCTCTCTGAACGTCTCTGTGTGTGTGTGTGTGTGTGTGGGTGGGTGGATGTGTGCCATTTCCAAACTTTGCAATATACAAACGACTCCTAATGAAATGTCATCTGGGCTGATTTGGAGGCTACACAGCCACATCAATAGCACCGCAAAACAACTTTTAAACGTGTTCAGATATGTTTTCTTACATGTGGGTTCACTCCAGTATCTGGAGGGTTAAGTGATTTTTTTTTATTGATATTAATTTGGAAGTCAAATTTCATGTCATGGGTGTGAACACTAAGACATAAGAGTAGGGCAAATACAAATTTTATAGCCTTGTAATTTAGCCGAGAACAAGCCTTTAATTTTCAGCGTTTTAACTTTTACGCGCGACTAGCAAATCCTACCTTTCCTTTGCCTCCGCTGCCCGGTCTCGCTGCCGTCGGTTTTTGAACCAGTTGCTGACCTGTGTGGTGGTGAGTCCCGTGGCCTCAGCCAACTCTCTTTTCTCCCGCGGGGATGGGTATGGGTTGTGGGTGTACCACTCCCGAAGGACGCTCCTGCTCTTCTCCTTGAAGCAGTAGCTTGTCTCTTCTCCGTCCCAAATGGAGCGGGGCAGCGGGAACTTTCTCCTGACGCGGTACTTCCCCACGGCTCCGAGTGGTCGGCCTCTCAGCTTCTCCGCCTCGATGTAGTGCGCTTTGAGCCACAGCTGCTGCAGCTTCGGATGGTTATGTGGCGAAAACTGGTGGCTCTCCAGGATCTTGTAGAGCTCTCGGAAGTTCCCCCGGTGGAACGCGACCACGGCTTTCGCTTTGAGGACGCTTTCATTTTTGTGAAGGTGTTCGCACGCCGGGAGGGACCAGAGGAAGCGTCCCAGCCGCTCGATGTTCCCCCCTTGTTGGAGGACCTCGCAGACACACGCCACTTGTTCCTGCGTAAAACCAAACGTCGGAAGCATGGCCATGGCGACAACGTAAACCAAAACAAATTACAGTCTGCTGTGCCTTACTTCCACGTCTTCCTCTCAGTATCACGTTAATTCAGAACTCATTAAGTCCATAAGTGGCAGTGTCCCCAAAAGAGCAGTTTAAAAATTGACCTGCCCAAGGCTCGATTATATCCAACTGCGTATTGTGGAATAAACTCAAGTCCATTCAGCTTTGCAAAACCCCAGGAGAAAAAGTTGTGGACAAAGAGAGAAAGTTGCTGCTGCGTCCACTGCTCTTCTCAACCTTTTCTATGCAGTTTCAACATAAGCTACTCCCGGAGACGGGGCTCGCTGCCTCGTTTTAATAATATTATTCTAAGTTGGCAAGAGAAGCGATTATATGAACTCTGATTGGTCGGTTATCTGACCCGGGGATGGTGAGGATAAGACAATAGCCTTGGTCAAATTATTTGCCATGGTTACGCTGTCACTCAAAGTAACCTGATATGCTTTGAGGTGGCTCCTTGGCAAAGTCAACCCGATTGTTCCCTTCACGAGCAGCCCGCCTTCCGATAGAAATATTGCTCAGTTTTTTCTTGTAAAACGTTTTTTTTTCCTTTCTCTTCACGTTGACAGACACCTCGGGCAGCCAAAGAGCGCAGAGCTCAGGGAGTGCTGGGAAGGAGCGCAGCGCTGATCACGCAGCTGGAAGAAGGATGGCGCCAGTGCGCACACAGCCTGCTGCAGTATGTCTTCATGCAGCTCTCACAAATCAGTCAGGGCTTGCACAACGCCTGGAACTTTAAAGTTAACGCTCATAATTTCATGCAAGTGAAATAAATGTCAACTGTCGAAGACAAGTGATGCAGCATTTAGGAAAAGTTGGCACAACATAACAGACTTGCCATGAAGAAAAAAAAAATTAATGTAGGTTAAAAAAAAAAGTAAAATTGACCGATTATCCCGGAAAGGGCAGGAATTTATGTTTTCCACCCAGTTTACATTCAATTTAGTCCACTTTAAGTCATAAAAAGTAGTAATAGTCAATTGTAAATAATAATTTCGGTAAATATATTTTACAGCAAACGAGAACCTTAACAGTGCATCTTGTAAGAAATACGTTACTAATAATAACAACAACAAAAAAGAGAAATCTTCAGGCCTCCGAAAAAGTACACAAAGTTAGATTTAGAAAGCAATTTAAAAAACTTTTTATTAATTAAAAGCTGACTAATTTGTAAACTTTCCCTGTGTAAAGAGTGCGCCATAATATCCACAAAAGGATCTTGAAGTGTCTATTGTTTTGTACGTTTCAAATTTGCTAAAAATATTATATAAATGTTATATTTCTATATTTAGCTCGTTGCTCTAATAAATGTTAACATTGCCACAATGCATGTGATAACATACATGAAAATGGGGGGCGAGGCAGTGCCTGCAGGAGCAGAATCACCGACAAAATCTTAAGATGTGCACCCGATCTAATGTTGAAGCGTTCGTGTGTGTTGTCGAGTCTGTTGGACAGGGAGAGGAGAAGGGCAGCCTGCCGAGCAGCAGGACAGAACATGAACGGCATCAACCTGCACATCGGTGAGGCACAAACTGACCAGTGTATTTGAAGTCATTTAGCTGATGCGGTTTAAAGCAGCGGCGGAGAAGATGGAAGTCGGAGATCATCAAAATTAACAAGCAGGGTTAGAAGGTAAGACCTGTTGACAAGCCCCCAGTAATCATTTCAATATGATAATAAAAGGTAGAATGGCGGAGAAAGAGTAGGAGGAGAGGTTAGCAAAGTGTGGATTTTAACGCAAAACATGAGTGAATTGGTTTAATCACTGAGAAGAAAGTGATGTGCGTTAGGCTACTTGGAAATGATGAGTTCCACTTGGCTGCAGCGGTGAAGTTTGACAGTGGCGGCAACATGATGAGCACAGAATTTGTCGTCAGGCGTTTGGAGACGTGTGTCACTCGGGCAGGCGTGTGTGTGCTATGGACTGCTGGGCCAAAGATTGACCGGTTGGTAGATTTCTATCACCTCACCATGGGACCTCTTCATTAGAGATTGTCAGTTACTCCCACAGTATCACATCACTCGACACTGCTGCCTCAAAACACACACATTTTCTCTTTCTCACACACACACACCGCTCTTTCCTCCGGCAGACCAGTTTCAGCCTTATTATTATTAGTATTAGTGGTGGTGGTGGCAGTAGTATCACCGTCTAGTAGGCGGAATTTGACATGCACAGGTCATAATTTTATTTCTTATATTTTCAATAAAGAACTTGCTAATGTCAACGGCACATCTCAATGACCTACCTCAAATCTCAGAGGTATACCATAAAACGTTGCCATCTGCTGATGTCAAAATAATTTGTGCTCAGATCAGAGGTTCACTTTTGCTCCAGATAGTTTTAGGCCTGAAAACCATGATCTATTTCTTCTAAATCGCAGCGATGTCAAATGAATTATTAGTGTAATTACGAAGCTAGTTTATCACCAGAGATGAGGAGTCCTGTAAGAGCAGCCTGATCCCTGTTTCCGTGTTGTGTTCTGCCTCTGTTTAATAAATTGTGTTGGGTTTTGCCTGAAGCGCAGATCTCAGAGAATTACGGCATTAGCCTGACTGATGATAATCATCAGGGGACCTGGGCTCGTCTGAAAGGGATTGTGCAGCGATTTAACCTTATACACATTCGGCTCATATGGGAGCAAATCCTAAGAATGTATCAGTTTTATTCCCAATAATAATAATAATAACAACAATAATAATAATGTTCCATTAAATCGCGTTATGAATGTTTAAATGTGATTCCTCAGAGCCCAGAGAGCCAGACCAAACACATCTGACAGACGCCACATTTTAGAGCGATCTCAGATAAAACTTATCATCTCCATCCATCTAACACAAGCACCTAAATGCGTCGTAAACGAGCCCAAAACACGCAGAGGCCTTTCCCCTTGGTGAAAGAGGCGCTGTCATTACAGCTCACAGTGGTCACAGTATTTTCACTGAGTTTATGTATGGCCTCATTTTTATGTTTCAAATCAAAGGCCATTCAGATATGTGTAATACTTTATCAGTTTGAGTTTAGAGACTGAAAACACTCCTGTTACTGAGAGACAACTAAACAGATGCATTGCTGTATTTTATTTCTTTCTTTATGATTTTTTCTAACAGTTTTCCACCTCTGCTTTAACTGTTGGCCTCCCCTGTAGACTGATGCTGTGCCTCCCTGTTCTCTGCAGGGGATTTGTGAAGGCCTAGTTCATCCCTGCCTGACTCTGTCATTTGGATCACTTTGGGTGCTGATGTAACCAAAGTAGGGTCTGGGGCGCTGTAGGAGCTCCAGGTGAGGGCCATCACCTGTCTCATTTGATACTATTCTGACGAGATGATGCACTGCACCAGCACGAATGGCTGGATAACAGGAATGTGACAGGTCAAACATAAAACAAGTAATAAAATAATAAATTATAATCCCTTCCTGAAGAAACTGTCTAACTCATCCTGTTGACATGCCTCAATCAGCACCTGCTCACGCAGTCTTGCTGCCCATAGACAAGCTTGTCCTGTACTTACTAGACCAGAATGCATCTGATGAGAAAGGTTAATGATCAGGGAAGTGGGTTGTTACTGAAGCAGAGAGGCTGCATTGGAACAGAGCAAATATCAAAGTAGAACAAGCAAATGAATACAAATACAAAGAATCTTCATTGTATTGAGCTGTTTATGGTAAGAACTGCTGGATGTGTTCACTCACAGGGACTGGGCAAATCAGGGTCCCATGTCTGGCCCTTGACAGTGTTTGTAAACCACTTGTTTCCACAGATCAGTTTGATCAGAGGGCTCTGGCTCTGAAACAGTAATTATTACGGCCGCTGATGAATGGAGATCACATTTCCCCTAATCGCCAGCCCCCTATTTTCACAACCTCCCACCGCTCGCCTTGGCCACTCTCCACCACGACCTCCACTAATTGAGCTGATTATTGCAAGATGTATGTTTTGGGGTGTGTTGCAAAGTCTCTGTGTTGGAGTGGGAAGAGGGACGTGGCTTTTATTCTGTAAGACTCCTATATGCACTGACCTGAGACAATCACAACAAGGAGTTGATGAGTAACATTCTTTCAGACAGACATCCAAGCGTTGGGCAGAGAGAGAGAAATTATTAAAGCCAGAACCTCTGTGTCTATATCGGTTAAGGGGATATGAATGAGGGCCTATCCAATAATTGGTTGTTTACATCTATTTTGTTACCCCAGAGGCCAGAGCTATCCTGCAGAGCCAGGACAAGATTTCAATACACCACACAGGCAAAAAGCAGGGAGGGGCAGGGATGGAGGGCGGGTCAGAGGGGTGCACGTGTGCATTAGGTGGCTGTCTCGTCCTTATTTCCAGAAGGCTCTGACCGCTGGGCAGGTTGATCAGATTGATTGGTTTACGTTTTATGCCCACTTTAGAATAAAGAGGCCTGCGCAAAACTCAGGCAGCTAAAAGGTGAGTCCAGTATCACGATGATCACGACAGAGCGAACACCAGCATGAACAAAATCACAGTTTTTATTGAAACACACTTTCTATATGCAGCAGCCCGCTTATAGCACCAGCCTCTACGAGCTGAGTACAGTCTTATAAATGCACAGTCTGTGGTCTAAATGTGATTCCTACTAATAGTTGCTGAACGTTGATTTGCTGCATTTAGACTCAATACTGGATTTTTATTCTGATTTTACATGATATATAAATAAAATTTAAATGGCAAGCAACAGATCCAGTAATGTTGCTCTTGTTCTGCGGAAAACCACCAGTGTGATTTATTTATCTTATCCTAGCATGACAAACACTGTGATGTTTAATGCTTTGATTCACAATACCATCACGTGGTGGAGTTCCTCGACAATATCTGATATTATCTGGCAGAAATATAAACTGATAGTTTGAAACTAGCAGGTAAAATCAATCTCGGTGTATTTACACATGAGCATTTTCTGAATGTGAAGCTATTACAAATTAAAATCTCTGCAATTAAGCCTGGCTCTGTCATCTATTACCCACTGGTAAAAAAAAAAACATAACCAACGAACGCCCCCTGCCCACCCACCACCGACACACTTCCGTGGAACAACACCCAGATTGCAGCTGGCCTGAACACTGTTGCAAACAGCAACAAGTGCCTGTTTTTCTACAAGGCTGGTCATTGGACCTGATGAGTAGCAGTGTGTGTGTCTGTGTGAGAGACGGAGCGAGCACGTGCGGCTTGATGCTGAGGTTAATTTATTCGATCAATCACTCCATTTGATTCCTGTTTATTTT